TTTTTTTGTTTACCCAATTAATATTTGATTCAATCTGTAATGAAGACTTTAACTGTTTTTCTTGCATAACATTGAAGAACTTGAATGCTTAAAAGGCTGCTAGCACGACCTTCAACAACTAGCTCATCAAGCCGTGCACATTTTCTGTGAGTGTAGGGAATGCGATGGGAGAGGGGAGGGGCAGAGTACAGCGAGATAGATAAGTATTGCATGGAGCTGGCAGTCGATGTCGATTCGCTCACAGCATTGAATTGGTGTTAAGCACGAACCGGGCGAATTGGCAATATGGAAATGGAAAAGGAAATGGAAAATGGTAAATGGAAATCAGGCAGAGTTGTCCCCAAGCTGTGCGGGGACTGGAGCGTGCAGCATGGCGCTTGGCGGCCTGACAGCCGCAGCAGTTGCTGCCATTCGTTGCAAGCGTGCGGAACATGTCGAATCAATTGTTTTTTCTCAGCCTCGCGGACATATTCTCCGTTTATCCGGCCATCTTCAAGGAGCGCAGCAAGCAGCTGCGCAAGACCAAGCAAATCTATCTGCCCAGCGATGAGGAGTGGCAGGACAAGATGTACTTCATGCTGCTCGAGATCCAGCGACAGGTGAACGAATCCTCCGACGTGAACATCTCGCTCAAGGACATCGATAAGCGAGATAAGCCCGTCTTCGACCCGGATCGGATCACCAAGATCGTTTCGCCCAGCATCAGTCCGAGTGGCGGCCGCAGTCGCGTGCTCAAGTATTGTCATGCGACCACAGTGAAGATTCGTCTGAAGTCCAGCGCTCGCTGGAATCTGCAAACCATTGCGAATGCAGCCAAGTTGCTGAGGAAGCCCGCTCTGCCCGTTGCCTTTCAGAATGAGCACGAGATGCGCTTGGCCTACTCTCTGATCTACGATGTCTTTCGTTGTGCGTGCACACCTAACCTCACATTTAACACACAGCTAACCTCACTTTTCTGCGATTGTAGATAAATCTGTGTTGTCCAACGCCTTGTCGGACATTTGCTTCTTCGAGCAGGAGCGCTACAAGAAGGTATGTGATTGTATGACTTACGCTGAAGGAAGTCGAATATTTATAGAGCTAAAGTGTTAATGAGTGATTGATGGATGGAAGCACTGAGAGAGACTGTGATTGCTGGACTGATGATTATCTAATAGTCCATGTAGAGTCTGAACAGCTAAACTAAAATTACTATATTAAAATTAGACTATATTTTAATCATAGTTTATTGACTGATTGATGATTAATCTAATGTCTAAGACTAAGGAGCTAGAATTATGAAAATTATGCAAAAACGATAGAGCTGAAGCACTGCTGAAGTGAGACTACTCTGCATGATTGTCAGCCTGATTGACTGATTGATTATTATTCTAAACTTGTAGCCGTAGCAGCTAGAAAGAGTTGCTTAAAAAGAAAACAAGCAAGTTTCATAAGTTTTCGTTTATATGATTCACAATCTATTCTGATCGACTATCTGATTGAATGACTTGACTGACTGGCTGATTGATCAACTTCCTCCCCCTCCCACTTCCACAGTATATCGACGATGAGCAGCGCATTTGGTTGATGCTCTTCGAGCTGTACGATCGCCACTTCAGGAATCGCAACTCGGAATACCAAGCTGAGCAGATGCAACTGTACAAGGAGGCGGAGGTGACAGGTAATGGCAATTGTCTCTAGGAATACCTTCCCGGACATTCTAGATTCGCTTTCTCCGTAGAGATTGCTGATGTGCTTTGGCAGCATCGCATACGCCTGGCCGCCTCAATCTCTCGCATGCGAATCGGCGTCGGCGCTCTGCGTCTCTCCCAGCTGCTGCCCATTCACCTGCAGAACGAAAAGGTGGCCATAGCGGCGGCAAATCCTGTCGTCACCGGCTGGATCAATCCGTTCCTGCTGCGGTAAGTCTTACAGTAGCTGCTACGGTTGAGCTCGAAGTTATTTCCTTAATGCAGCAACAAGACGGAGGCCAATAAAATCCTGACAGAGATGGGCTTTACGGTCCACGGCCCGGACGACGAGCAGCCGCTGCTCGAGCAGCACTGCAAGTGGGACAACATCTGTCCACTGGTCATCTCCATCATACCCAAGGATCGCAGCGAGTTCACCAAGTCGAAGCTCATGACCGAGCACTATTTTATCATGCAGGTGGGGTTGGATCTCAGCCAAAGCAAAGCACAAAAGTTTTCATACTTTCCTCTCCTCAGGATAAAAACTTTTCCTATGGTCCGGCTATAATGTCCAAGCTGATGGACTACTATGAGCTGTATGGTGAGTGAGCTTATAGAAACTGGATTTCTCGGTNGTGATTGCTGGACTGATGATTATCTAATAGTCCATGTAGAGTCTGAACAGCTAAACTAAAATTACTATATTAAAATTAGACTATATTTTAATCATAGTTTATTGACTGATTGATGATTAATCTAATGTCTAAGACTAAGGAGCTAGAATTATGAAAATTATGCAAAAACGATAGAGCTGAAGCACTGCTGAAGTGAGACTACTCTGCATGATTGTCAGCCTGATTGACTGATTGATTATTATTCTAAACTTGTAGCCGTAGCAGCTAGAAAGAGTTGCTTAAAAAGAAAACAAGCAAGTTTCATAAGTTTTCGTTTATATGATTCACAATCTATTCTGATCGACTATCTGATTGAATGACTTGACTGACTGGCTGATTGATCAACTTCCTCCCCCTCCCACTTCCACAGTATATCGACGATGAGCAGCGCATTTGGTTGATGCTCTTCGAGCTGTACGATCGCCACTTCAGGAATCGCAACTCGGAATACCAAGCTGAGCAGATGCAACTGTACAAGGAGGCGGAGGTGACAGGTAATGGCAATTGTCTCTAGGAATACCTTCCCGGACATTCTAGATTCGCTTTCTCCGTAGAGATTGCTGATGTGCTTTGGCAGCATCGCATACGCCTGGCCGCCTCAATCTCTCGCATGCGAATCGGCGTCGGCGCTCTGCGTCTCTCCCAGCTGCTGCCCATTCACCTGCAGAACGAAAAGGTGGCCATAGCGGCGGCAAATCCTGTCGTCACCGGCTGGATCAATCCGTTCCTGCTGCGGTAAGTCTTACAGTAGCTGCTACGGTTGAGCTCGAAGTTATTTCCTTAATGCAGCAACAAGACGGAGGCCAATAAAATCCTGACAGAGATGGGCTTTACGGTCCACGGCCCGGACGACGAGCAGCCGCTGCTCGAGCAGCACTGCAAGTGGGACAACATCTGTCCACTGGTCATCTCCATCATACCCAAGRATCGCAGCGAGTTCACCAAGTCGAAGCTCATGACCGAGCACTATTTTATCATGCAGGTGGGGTTGGATCTCAGCCAAAGCAAAGCACAAAAGTTTTCATACTTTCCTCTCCTCAGGATAAAAACTTTTCCTATGGTCCGGCTATAATGTCCAAGCTGATGGACTACTATGAGCTGTATGGTGAGTGAGCTTATAGAAACTGGATTTCTCGGTATGTGAATTATGTATTGCACCTCCAGGTGACATTCTGCAAACCCACGTGGATTCGCCACGTGCCACAGCTTACCTGGCTGCCCTCTTTTACTCTGTGAATCGTGTGAATAACTTTTATGTTTATGGAGCGGGCGCCAATCTTAAGGACTATCGCCGATACATGGAAACTCTAGGCGTGAGATTACATATACATATATATCTCCTTCTATATATATATATATAATCCTCTTTTCCTACAGGTCAACAACATACGGCTCTTTGGCGACGCCTTCACCTCCTTTCCCATGGAATCGAATCGCTTTCGGAATGTTGTGGGCATCTTTGCCACGCCCCCGAACTCTTTCAGTGCCATCTCCGATCCCATAGACCTGATCTGCTCGCGTGGCGGTGATCTGAGCATGCTGGAAGTGCTCACCGAATCGGAGGTCAGCGATGAGGGCAAAACGCGCGTCGGTTGCATTCTCGAGGAGCAGCTGCTCACCCTCACCATGTCCATGTCGCGTCCGCAGGTGCAGTTCGTGCTCTATCAAACACATTCGATAGTCACCACTGAGAACGAGGACATGGTGCAACATGTGCTGGAGGTGATCAACAAACTGGCTTTGGAGAAACACCGCCAGGCCTACCGCGAGGTGAAGAGGCTGGAAGCCCTCGCCGAGCTCGAGGCCGCTAATATACCTGCTGCAGCGATGCCCAAGGAATCGCCGCGCAAGAAGGAAAAACTCAGCGCCGAGGATAAACGCAAATCCCAGCCAGAGCTGGCATCCAAGCCGGGCGAGCCAACGACTCCGGCTGTGCAGCTGCCGCGAGTGGACAGCATCGATTTGATTGTTACGCCGGACATCGATGAATTCGTGCTGGACACTGTGCCCGACATCTGCATCAATCAGGACAACTGCATCGAGCAGCAGTCGACGGGCAGCTACCTCTCGCTCATACGCCGCAAGGCGCTCACACAGCTCAACGAGAAGTACCTCATTCGCATGGCCGAGCGGCGCGGACTCTTTGGCAAGCAGGAGAAGGATAAGACGAGGCCACGCGGCGTCAAGCTGCAGGAGGTCAACGAGCCAGCGCCTCCAGATGCCAANAGGTGAAGAGGCTGGAAGCCCTCGCCGAGCTCGAGGCCGCTAATATACCTGCTGCAGCGATGCCCAAGGAATCGCCGCGCAAGAAGGAAAAACTCAGCGCCGAGGATAAACGCAAATCCCAGCCAGAGCTGGCATCCAAGCCGGGCGAGCCAACGACTCCGGCTGTGCAGCTGCCGCGAGTGGACAGCATCGATTTGATTGTTACGCCGGACATCGATGAATTCGTGCTGGACACTGTGCCCGACATCTGCATCAATCAGGACAACTGCATCGAGCAGCAGTCGACGGGCAGCTACCTCTCGCTCATACGCCGCAAGGCGCTCACACAGCTCAACGAGAAGTACCTCATTCGCATGGCCGAGCGGCGCGGACTCTTTGGCAAGCAGGAGAAGGATAAGACGAGGCCACGCGGCGTCAAGCTGCAGGAGGTCAACGAGCCAGCGCCTCCAGATGCCAACTACGACAGCTGTTCAGCGGGCTCCCGCAGCGGGCAACGGCATACGGTAAGTGGACGAAGATCTATACACTATCTAGATATCCTCGATATCTTTATAATGATTGTCTATATGGTTTATACAGATCTTATAAAGTTTCATATAGAGCTGAGGGATGAGGGCTTGAGCTTAGGCCTATTAGTTGAGAGTGTGGGGAGGTTATGCATCTTAGATATCGATTCAATTTGTGTATCTAGGTGTACGTCAAGCCTAGTATATAGTACATGAGTCAGTAGGTTGAGGTGTAAAAGAAATATAGAGATAAATACAAGTTGGTTCATATCTGATGAGCCCAATCTTTCATTCATAATTTAAAATAGACAAGTTTCATTGCGAAATTTCTTTCGTTCTTCAATATGAGATAATAGTCCAATTATTTACAAATTTTTGGGCTATAAAATTGGAGAGCTGTCATAAATCCCCACTTAGGTTTTCTTATCGCAAATACATTAGCTGTTGTTTAACAACGTGATTACGCATAGCGGGTTTATTTATAGATMATTTCTAATAAAGTTCAATTACTAATTGAGTCACAYCAGTTCCGYATTACGGGTCATCTATATGTGCATATTTAATGCAGACAAATGAGACATCTACTTAAGTCAACYAAAATGAAATGTGTTCGTTTAATGCKTATGACAGATAAGATATGAGATATAGATCGTATGGTTATCATGGTCGTTACATATATGCATAAATATCTATATGTTCTAGGCCATTTATCTTCTAGACGTTATAAGATAGGGATCGTATTGTCGTTGGGAAGTTTAGTCGTCGCGAATAATTATATTCAAAATTCGATCAGACATTGATAGCTTACATAGATAAGCGAGAGCAAGCAAACCCCATTTGATTTATAGCATATACTTTAGGCAATGTGAGATAAGATATGGGATATTAAATAGATGTCTCATATATGTAGGTCTTGCCAGCATTACTCATTTCTAGACAATATATAGAATATAAATCTCAGTCTTTCTTATGTACGATATTAAATTATAAGTGAATAGGGCTTCTTATACTCGCATAAGATATTGATTATATAGTCCTTAAAGCTACTACGCTATATACAATTAACGATATAAATACACAATACACATATACGATATTCTACGAATACGATATCAAACCTATAAATCGCCCTTGAATATTCGAACTTCTTATCTGCCAATTAAATCATAATATTTTAGAAAAAATCCCCCAGAAAATTAACTCTAGACTGGGTTCAGATATAAGGCTATAAACAGTCAATAGAAACCACTTGACAGATATGGGGGATACCGATATGGATATGTATATACTATATTCAAGAATCCTTATACGATATAAGATATGGATCGTTTAATTCTCGAAATATTTCGAACTGCGTGATAAACGAATGAAAATATTAATTTAAAATTCAAATTATTGACTGCAGATTCGAAATATTGATAGCGTATAGTGGACGTAGTAGAACCCAGAACTAGATGTAGGATATGAGTGATAAGATATGAGAATTATGCTATACCTTGAACTGGCTGTCCATGTAGACCGGATTCATATGGTGTTAGACTTTACACTTTATTGTAAACAACGACATTTGAGAGGGTGATTGGAGAGGGGGGGGGTTATGGGTCTTTATATATACACATTTGAGACTTATGATCTAATAATTAACGTGCGCCATCAACAGAATCATCAGCGACATCGCAGCATCCACCTGGGCTGTTAGACGCGAGAGGTGGGGGAAGGGGGAGGGCAATTGGGCGGGCGAGGGGGTTCGTAATTAGCATGAGGCATGCAATTGCAATTGCTCCCAGGGCTTAGTCACAGCAACTACATTGGCGACAACAACAACAACATCAACGACGACGACAACAACAACAAGACAAGAACAACAACAACAATGATGAGATATAGCGAAGGGGGTTAAGAGATTAGGTCATGCCATTGGCTTAGCTCATTGGCCCATGACTAAATCCAATCTTCGAATTGCGGCTCCCCTCTACTTGCGCCAGCCGCTGCCGCTCTTCGCCTTCCCGTTCACGGCTTTGCCCTGCTGATAGCCGCCCTTGGCATCCTTCGACTTGCTGCCGGACCAACTGTCCATGCTGCTGCTGCTGCTGCCGTTGTAGCTGAAGCTGGACTTGAAGGAGGGATTGCCGTTGCTCTTGAACATGGGACTCATCTTGCCGGCCCCGACCAGGGGCGCCGACTGGTTGTAGTAGGACTTGTTGCTGCTCAGCAGATTGTAGCCCTGGCTGGAGCCAGCGACGCCCTTCTCCGACAGCTGTCGATTGTAGGAGAACCCGGTGCTGGCCAGTCCGACCGAGGCGATGCCCAGGCCCATGCCCACTCCAGAGCCCATGGTGCTCGCACCGATGCCCACGCCACCTCCGCCAAACGTCTGCTTGTGGCTGGTGCTGAAGGTGGCGCCCAGCTCCCCGCCCAGCGGCCCGTTCTGTGTGTAGAACTGCTGCTGCACCTCGACAATGTAGCGGTAGGCCTCCTCCATGCTCTTCGGGTTGCGGCGCAGGATCATCGAGTGCGTCGGCTCCGGCAAATGGTCGCGAAACACCTGCAGCGTTATACGCTCAATGTCCTCCAGCGAGTACAGGGTATCGTTGTGGGTGAGCTTGCGGTTGAGCAGGCGCTGCTTGAGCTTCGCCATCTTCTGGTAGTACAGCTCGATGTTCGAGTCGAGCACGGCGCTGCGTATCTTGTGGATCAGCGAGTAGCTGGACTCGCGCTCGGCAAAGCTGTGCAGCAGCTGCTCCTTCAGCCTGTGCCAGGACTCCGGCTTGACCGTCCCACTCGCATGCCCGTTCCCGCTGCCCGCCGGCGCGCTCAGCTGGCGCGTGAAGACCGCGTCTCTCGCCCGGTCCGTGCACTTGTTCTTAATGTGGCCCAACAGCTGCGCCTTGTAGTAATCGTCGAAGGCGTTGATCGCCGGCATCAGTTGCTCGATCTTTTGCAGGAACTGCGGCAATTTGCCCGGATCGCTGCCATCGAAGTTCTCGATGAGCTTTAAGCGACTCAGCACTTGATTGTACTTATTCACAAAATCGGGATCCATATCACCGTGCACCACTTCAATATATATCTCTTGTATATATCTTCGTTGCTCGATTCCCGTTTCAAAAATCAGAGTTTCGATTCTTACGAAATGTATAAATTAACATCGATTAACATGAACGAACGGCTAGCTACGAAGATCCACGGGAAAAAAGAAATCTCGCAGCAATAACAATGACATCAAATCAAATGTTTTGTCTCTCCAGCTCCCAACCGAACCGAACCGAACCGAACGAATGCRAAATTCGAATTGATATGGCAAACGGGAACGGAATAGATCGGTTGCCCAGTTCACTCGGTCTTTCGGATCGTGTCGCTGCGACTCGGCTTGTCATTCGTGCTGAACTGAAATGCTCAAACGCCACTCATTGTGGTGGTGGTTTCGGGYTTGGTATTGGCGCTAGCTCTGGTGCTGGTACTGGCACTGGTGGTGCTGCTGCTGGTGTTGGTGGGTTGTGGGAGTTGTTTTGTGTACTGACTGGCTGAATCATGTATGCACAAGTCAAACAACAACAATGGCAATAAACGAGAGTGTTAGAACAGATTATGAACGACTAGTGCATGCTCTACATGTGGAGAGAATCGAACTACTATCTACCTCAAACCTTGGGAAACTTCTATTTCTTTTATTTCCTTCATAAATCTGATTCATCATTCTATCTCAAAATATGATTATATGGTATCGAAAATTCTAAATTCCTGCATTTTCTATATATTAACGTTTAAAACATCAGGGTTTATGCATTAAATTTAATATTTCTAGCTCTTCAAATGTTTTATACATACCGAAAAGTTGCAGAAAACTAAGGAATCAATCCAAAAAGCAAATATACGTATGTCAATATATACTAGTACTACAGAAGTACAATAGCAGATCGAGGAGAGAAATGTAACTCCGTGTATAATATATTTGCACTATGCAAAATACTTAATAAGAAACATAAGAGTGTTTAACCGATATATATCGGTTCATTTTGCTTGAAGAAAAACTAGATGAATATCTTGTGTAATCTCTGAAATGAACTCGCACACACAGGCATATGATTTCGACTTGTATATATGTCTTRGATGTGGCTCAGRCGCTTYTCCATGCCTCTCCCCATCCGTTACAGACCTATCGACAGTGGCAATATACTCTAGTTCGAGCGCATGCCCATATAGGGTATAATAACAGCAAACACGACGATCGCACATATTGTATATATGTGAATATATTCATATAGGCAAAGCAATGACAGATAGAGATAGTAACAACCCAGCAAACACACACACACAACACTCACACACACACGTAGAGCAGAGGCACGCACATAGATCAACATTAAGCATATTAACGAAAAAGCGCACACAAATCGCTCGGAATCGAAGCGTAGCGTCATAAGCATATATAGTATAGATATATACATATACGATACACGCATACACACATATATGTAAGTTCAAATATCAACAGATTCTTGGTTAAGATATATAGGTTTGAAAGATTTCTTAATTTATGACAATTTCCAGATAGTCGAATGACTTTATATCTTTTCAAGGATTGCTAAAAGTCACTTTCAATATGAGTCGAATAAGTTTCTAGGTGCGTGTGGAGCGTTCGGGCGGGATATTACGCGGGTCAATTGAAGTCTATCAGTCAATTTACAGTATGAAATAATAAAATCAGTTAGAAAGTCTTCACATCAAATTCAATTGCTATTTAATTTGCACAGTTTGTTCTTTCTTTACTTTTTTCAACTCATCACCAAGCAAAACACAAATCAAAATTAAATAAATAAAAATATAAAAAATCGTTGCTGCTGACGTTTTTATTGGTTATTTACACTGATCTATTAACAATATGCTGTTAACTGTGTGTACTCCCGAATGTGTAAATAACATAATTTCAAGAACATTTATTGGACTGAAGGCACGGCCATTTAACAGTTAAAGACTTTGTTCTCCCGGCGTACAGAGGTGGGGAAACATATATGGAACAGTCTCTTTTGAAAGAAAATATCAACGAAACTTTTCCGTTCTCTTAATTATTATTATAATCGATAAGAAGCATCGAGATTGAAACAATGTTTTCAAGTTTAAGTTTTTATCCAACTTTAGCAATGACCTTGCCCCATCTATTCGGACAACATATGGAGTTTATTCTCTTAAGCGATTCAATTCGAGAATTTGTTTTTTGTTCTTGAATGCTTTGCATGTCAGTATGTTGGATATTACAGCAATATATACATACATACATTGAGCATATCTAGAACACTTTGGGTATGCCTCATCTCAATGCTTCTCTTTCGCAATCTGGCAAATACACATACTTTCTCTCTATCTCTCTCTCTTTGTGTCAATCTTTTTATCTATCTATCCCTCACTCTATATATATCTCTCCAACTCTGTCTCTCTCTTTGTGCCTATCTTTTATTCTATCCCACAGTCATTTTTGCAAGCTCCTCATCTATATAATTATCTCTCTCTCTATCTCTCTCTCGCTATATCATTCTGTTTATGTACCGCTCTCTCTCTCTCTCTCTCTCTCTCTGTCTGCCCCTTTTCTCTGAAACTTTCCCCACACTCCAGCCAAGACTTTCCCATCTACGTCCTCTGAGACACATCAACTTTCACATTTCCCTCCCTTCCGAATTCTTACTCCCTCTGTCCCACTCTATTTCTAAAAGAACTTTCTTCCAAAAACTCTATATCCACTGTAGACTCTCATTGCTATTTTCTCATTGCTATTTTCTAATAATAAACATAATCTTTAAAGATTTAAAATTCTTATAGCAAATTGAAGCCCTATGAAAATTTCCATTCTAAAACCAGATCAATTCCTCCCTTGTGTTTCTATTTATGTGCTCTAGACGCTTCTCAGAAATTCACAAATTTCCGTTCCAAAACTCGGAGCTTCTAAGTGCTTACACAAATATCATTAAACTAATTTCAGCTAATTATTTATTATTAAGCTAATTTCTGTGGCTGCCACTAAACTCAGTTTGTTTGTTTCTTCTACCAGTTTGCCAGTTGCGCCTCTCGTCTATCGCCTATCATATCTGTATATCATATCAATCCGTTACCGATAGCCTGCATGACACACAAATGACTCTTGATGACGACGTTCCAAATGTCCATATATATATATCTATATGTATATATGAAATTTTATTGGACCCAAAAGCAAAAATCAAAAAATGAAACACACGCGCACTTGGCACCTAGCCACGCCCAGCATTTGGGGCGGCTTATCGTGGGCGCTTTTAAGGTCTGGTGCGCCGGCGTGCGCGTTTTCAACTAATTAGCAACAATTTTCGAGCGTTAGCGGCTTGTAAAAACGGTTTACCAATACAGCTAAAGCTAAAGCCAAACTCACAGCCAAAGCCAAAGCCCGAGCTAAAGCCAACAGCCGAGCCCAGATTGAGAAACTCGCCGCAGCCAACGTCCAATCAGAGGAGGCATGTTCTAATTGGAGCCGTGGTTTTCTGATAAGCGCATTTAATTGCTCTCGACTGCAGCGGCGACTTGTCAGTTCGCATTTGTTTAACAGCAACTATTTTACAACTGTAATTCTGTTTACAGTAATTATGTAAACAACAACAGTAACAACAACAATAGCAAACAGTTAATCACCGCTGCCTTGATAAGCAAGTTCAGGGCCAAGGTTGCGGGTTCACGCTTCGAGTTGAAGTCAGAGAATTAGAGACCGCAACCGAGACGAAGCGAACCTAACCGAGCCCGCATTCAATCATAAGCCAACACCATCTCAATGGAGTCCCACTTATCAAGCAGCTGTAAATATTCGCGCATTTCGCTTTTGAATCCAAATTTGCAATCCAAATTTAGCAGCAATAAATATTCTTCTAAGCAAGAAATAACAGAACAAACAATGTGCATGAAGCAGAAGATTAGATGCACTTACTCATGAATGAGCTGAACTGATAAGCGCTCTAGAAGTAGAAGATGCAATAGACTTACTTATATATAGATAGGCTATTGATTATAATCGACTGATCGATGACTAATTTCTTATATGCAACATATTTCTTCAGCTTCGAATTCTCTCGATCTGTGATAGAAATAATACAATAATTAGGTATTACATATCWYAGAACAGACTTTAWGGAATGTCAAATTTAATATCAGTTTATAGTGGATGAGTTTTCTATGCACTAGGCAGCTGAAAAAACGTAAATAGATTTGTATATCAAAGCAATGTTTTGTATGGTCACAGTCTGAATGGAGCAAAGCCCATTTTATTGAGTGGTGTCAATAAGTAGAGTCATTGTCAGTCTATTATGATATACTATCTCTACTCAAAAAATRGTATTAGCTATATCTTCAGTTCTCCAGTTGATAAGTTTTCCTACATACGAAATATCTATGAATACTATCATTGCTTTTGATAGGAACTTTTCTTTGTGAGTACCGATATTACCGATATACTTCCTTTCATTTATAGACGAACTACTCTTCTGTACTGCATTTTCCTATAACTAGAGTAGAATCCGGTTATAACGATTCTGGTTATAGCAAATATTCTGGTCCCCAAACAAACTTTTATGATCTAACCTATACGGGTATAGCGCCTTCCGGGTATAACGACGGTACCTTGAGTGTCGTTATAACCGGATTCTACTGTAGTTTTATTCTACTACTACTTTTACTTCTCTGATGTACTACTCTTTTTACATACTACTTTTTTGGTATACTCCTTTTTTGACATACTACCATTTTAGGCATACATTTCTACTACAATAATTATTCTGGCATACAACTTCTCTTTTTAGAACTTTTTCTTAACTACCATTTACGCAACCATACATCTATTCAATCTTGTGTTCATCTACTACTTTTATATACTACCTCAACTACTAATACGACTTCTTGCATAATTAGTCCCATAAATTCCATCAACATGCCAACATCGAATAAACCCAGAGTTCTCATAGAACAATAAAGTCTATCTGAGCTCTCATTACATTTTCATCAGCCATTCAATTGTACTCTCTGCTCTGTGAGGGTATTCAAATAATGTTAGCTAGAAAATATGTTCAATTGTTTGAAAAATATATGTATATAAAAAGGTTGAATATGAATTAATTAGCGGCGCGTACCTGTGTGCGCCTGTCTCGTTTCCCATTTTGTAATTCCATAACCGAACCGATTTGGCGAACCAAACGCACAACAACAACAACAACAACTACAATAGGGCCGACTGCAGCACCAGCGAGCGACCCACTCGAGCGCCATACGCTCGCACCTGACCAAGGTGTCGGCCACGCAGCGGCATCCGATCGCATTCAACTTTAGGAGGCGCGAGTGCACACGCTTCTACGTATTGCCCGTTTATATGGTAAGTGCTCATAAAGCCAAAAATGAATCAAAAACGAATATCAATTCGTATGCCAATATAACAGCTAATGAAATTGTTTTCTCGTTCGCTGTTGTTCGCTTTACGTTCCGTTGCCCCCAATTTGCAGCATAGCACAAAGCAGAACAGCCGCCTCTGGTGGCAATATGCCTTCAAGTGCGTCACTCGACGGGGCAGCGACAGCATCTGGAGTCCGAATCTGAAGTTTAAGCTCCACTGCAAGCGGCAGCTGCGCATCCGGAAGCTGCGTCGCATCCGCTGGACGAACAGGCAGCCGCTGCACCTGCACATTGCCGACATTCAGCTRGTGTGCCAGGTGCGCGGCTACAGTAAGTAGGAGAAGGAGCTGCGGGGAGATTGTTTACCTGGGCTATGTTAGGGTATATCCATGTCTGCTATATGCCTTATGGGCTGTTTCAAGGTTAGACGACACCTGTATAAATAGATCCATTACGTAAGTTATGTAAAGTATCGAAGTTAGGCAACACCTGTGCTGACTAATTTTGGATATATGCCTCTACATATCTAAGTTTACGAACAATCTGTATAGAATATATAGTTTATATAATTTGTCATTGAAAGTTAGCTAGCTCAATATAGATAGTTATATGTTTTTATCACGTATATATAGAAGACATTGCTATCAAAGTAGACAATTTGACATTATAGATACATATATAAGCTCTTTGGATAGAACACAAGTTACCAGACATACAAGCCTTATGGATATATATCTTTATAATGACGTAGCACTCGCCTCAGTCATCACAGTTAGATAGCTCTATCCATAGACATCATCATAAGCTCTTGCATTATGATAATTGCTTAGATCATTCATCTATAGACAAATCTGATCTATGTACAGTTTAATTACATTAATTACTATAATTAAATAATGTATATTTTTCGAAATAAAGCACATCAAATGCATTTTATGTAGTATACTTTTGTAGGTCAACGTCTACAGTGTTCGCCCGCTAATTGCAACTATAAAGGCTATTCCAATTGGCGACTATGTTCTAATTGTTGTTAGTTCTCTGTTGAGCATAGAAAAAGAAAGAAGTAAATAAATAAATTGTTTTTTATTTTTAAATTATTAATGTCTATAAAGAAGTTTCTTTTTTTTTATAAATCCTATATGTAATTCCTTGAAAATAAAATATAGAACCGAAAGTTACAATTATATTTAGTGTGCTGAAAATTCATACGATTTACCATAAAGTTTAAAACTAATCCACAAATCCATAGACTTTTATGGAAGATCTATGATATAGTACTAGATGTTGCACATGTGTAAAATAAAGCAAGCAGTGAAAACTTAAAAAGAAAGCAAAATTGCTTTTATACCAAAAACACATTTGCTGTTAGTAATAGAACCTATTTAATGCCGACATAAAGCATACATATATATTGAAGGTGCACGAAAATATGCAATAGAAAATGGCATGAACTTGCATTATGAATGGAAAGCCAAAATTTCCGAAAAATTTTCAGTGATTTTAAAAGCCTCAATAACAGAAATTTTTAAATTTTCCAGCAATTCGTAATAAATTATACAAATTAATGAAATTGCTTGCGAGTGCAACTTATACGTATATATATGTATGTATGTATATATAGCTGATCGGCCAGGTCATATCAACTAAAGTCAATCAAGAAACAGGCAACTGCAGTTACAGCTGCCAGATTTGAAGTACATCAATATAAGTAACTAATTTAACACTGAGTATAGCATGTTTATATATATTTTTGTTATTTAATTTTTTAATGGTGTTTGCGAATATTGAGCTATTGTAATTGTCGACACTTGAATATGAATGGAATATGTGTGCGTGTGTGTGTGTGTGTGTTAATTACGTGTACGTTTTTTTTTAATGCATTGCAATTATAAATTCCGATAGCGAAACTTTACGATTACGAATGAGTGTTTGATATAAATGTATGAAATAGTGGGGGCTTGCATTTAGGTGTTTACTATGCATATATATATATGTACATACACATATGTATATGTATGTATGTATTTAATTGTAGTAGTAATGCTGATACAGCGAGTATATCCTAATTGGGGCACGACTCCCAGTGTGTGTCCCAGGCGCGCACCTGAAATGAATTCAAGTAGTTAAATATGAATATATAAATATGATATGTATAGCTCATCCTAGCTCACCTGGCACTCACGACTGCAGTACCATTGATTCTGGCAGGCGGCGCACATGTAGGTGGCCTTATAGCGTAGACAGAATTGGCAACGACGCTCCGCTTCTAAGTCCGGCCCATTCGTAGACGAGCTTAAGCGATTGCTATGATTGTTAATGGTATTGCGATTGGTTTGGTTCACGGCACGATCCAGCGAATCGAGACTCTGCAGCACACCCGCGCGATGCATGGAATGTAGATCGTTCAACTAAAATTAGCATAGATATAATATGGGATAGCTTGAGACTTCAGTGCACCCACTTGTGTATTTGTATTGCTGTTTTTGCGCCCCTGGCTAGCAGCCAGTGGACTGCTATTGTACAACGGATTGAGGGGCAGCTCATCAATATGATTGTTATCCAGCTGGCTGCGTGGCAGAGTGTCTATGGATTCGTTTTGGCGATATGTGGAGGTGGCAGCGAGATCGGCTGTAGAACCAGTCAGCTGTCTGGACTCATTGATCAGCTGCTGATAACTGCAAAATAAAGGGACTAAATAAACTTCTTCATATACAACAATATCTGCTGACTCTACCGAGAAGGGGGCTTATTGCGCTTGCTTAGCTCCTGAAGCTGTTCGTTCTCCTGCATGCTAGTTCCTCGGGCATAGGTTGATGTGCGATTGGCTAGCAAGGACGAACGCATAGCTGGCACTGAGTCACGTCTGTGCAGCGACGGCGTCTCATAATGTTGAGGTGGAGGTGGCGGCATGGGGACCTCAGCCACTCGAGGAGCCTTGCTCTGCATAGCCAAGACACTATAAAAATTCTCATAAGTAACAAGAAATTTGTCAATAAACCCATATATATGTACCTGCGCAATATCTTTATCTCATCCAGTCCATTTTCGACTCTGTCAATCAACTGCTGCATTGAGTTGCGCCCATATCTCGATGGCATTGGCGAGTTTTGTTCATTTATCAGCAGCGTATGCATTTCGTATAGCTCCGAGGTGCTGCAATTCTTGTTTAGTATGGAAGGCAGAATCTCCTTCAATATAAGTATGCGCTCCTTGCGTTCGATGCGCGCCAGCAACTCCTCCTTGACGGTGCGCAAATGTAGTAGACGATTGTGTTCCTCTTCCTTCTGAGCGATCAAATTATCCAAAGTCTTGAGATCCGCTTCAATGCGCATTTTCTCCTCGCCATAGGACTTGAGTTCTGGCTTAACAGCGCGCACCTTATCCGACATAATGTCGTCCAGCTCCGTGTAGAGATCCTTGATGCGCTGATGGAAGACCGCATCGCTATTGCTATTGTCCAGATCGACTGGCGAATTATTGGAAGTGGCTGTAGCCTGATTAGTTTGCGTTTGCTTACTTTCACCATCGCGTTGCTTGGTACGTGGTGACGATGTGGGTGGTTGTTGCTGTTGCTGTTGCGGCTGTTGCTGCGGAGCCTGTTGCTCCTGCTGTTGCTGCTGGAACTGCTGTGGCTGCTGTAGCAGCTGTTGTTGCGACTGTGGAGGCAGCTGCTGTGCCTGTGGAGGCTGCTGCAGTACCTGCGGAGCCGGCTGCTGAGCTGTGTAGGGCGTACCAAAAGAGTTATAGTCGACTACAGCTTGACCTACTGTGACGTTTGTCGTTGTTTGTATATTCGGCACATCCAGTTGCTTTTGATTAGGATAGGCTATGTCCATGGGTTCAATGGACGGCGAAGGTGTCTCCAGGCTAAGCGACACCGCAGCCAGATTCTCTGGCTGTGTTTGCTCCAGATGCTGCTGGCAGAGCACCTTCTTCTGAACATAGTATTCCATTCCACTAGACGGAGACAGAGAATAGGGTGAGCCTACTTTGAATACATTCAATGGGTCAGCATTGGATCTAATGACTGGCTTATGCTGCGGAGTCGTCGGTGGTGCCGGCATTGTTTGTTGTAGTGTTAGTGGTGTTGCTATCGGGGTTGGTGTTGGTGTTGGTATTGGCTGCTTTGCAGGCTCTGCGTAAGGTGTTAGTTCTATAATTTCATCATCCAAATCTACAGTTGTCAAAGATTTGGTGCGCTTCTCAGTATGTGGATCTACGGCCGTCGGCGGTGTGGGTGAGCGACGACGTTTTAATGTGGCCTCTTCCACAACCATGTCCAAGCTAGCTTCGGCCTTTGCAGCTGGCACAACCAACTCCTGCAACTCTTGCAACGGCGGCTGCTGTTCGCTGTTATTACAACCTGCTGCTGTTTCGATGACAGGCTCAGCTGCTATGCTCGGTTTCATGGACAGGAACTCATCCAGCACGGAACCGTTTTCAGCAGGAGTAGCCTCTGCCTCTGATTTGATTTCCAGCTGTAAGGCAAACGGCGGCGGTGGTGTCCTTGCAGTCGATTTCTGCTGCTGCTGCTGCTGCTGATGCAAGTTTACAGCTGGAATATCGTTGGGTTTCTCTGGAGAGTCATCATCATCCAGGCATATAAGCTCCGGCGACAGGCTGCCTGTACGACTGCGACTGCGACTGCGACTAGGAGTGCGTTCTCTACGCTGCTGCTGTTGTAGCTGCTTCTGGTGCAATTGGCGCTCTTGCTGCTCCCGTTCAATGGCTCGCTTGGCTGCTCGGTAATCGGCCATGCGCTTGGCCTGCGCCTGATGCTTGGGCAACGCTCGCTTCAACTGACTCATGTAGTCAGTTTTATTATTCAAGCGTTGATTCAACCTATTAATGGAGAAATTTTAGAGGTTAGTTTATCAGAAAGATGTTTAAGAAATCGAAATTTCACTTAATAAGAAATTGATATAGACTCTCTTCCTTTTTTTTAATATATGGATCTCTTTATTGCTTTGAGGCGATTTGCTGCTGATTGAAATTTTAATGACTTTTGAAGGACTGCTAATTTCTTACTTCTTAAATGCTGTGACAGATGTGCATGAAGTAGTGCTAGATAACACTGAAACTGACAATTGCCTCATTTTAAGAGTGACAGATGGAATAGAGATGAGCCTATTGACAATTATTGACAATTTGCAGCTTAGGCTAGCATTTTCTGTGATTCCTGTCACTTTGACATTCTCAATGGCAGACCTATAGAGTTCGCTCAAATCCTGAGTAGAAGGGGGAAGATGAAAAATAGTTCAGCTAAATTAATGCTCTGAGCAGAAACTCAAGCTTCGAGATATGCGGTTTCTCTTAAAACTTAAAGAGTGAAAGCTCGAACAGACAGACGTAATAAGTTGGTTCAWARGTTCAATGAGCGACCAGCAGTTGCATGAGGTTGAAACATTTTACTTTCAATCAAAAAACTCTAGGCGGATCTGGAAATTAATAAAATATAGATGTAACCAATTCCACATACCATTTTATGCTGCGCCGCTTGAAATACAAATTAGCCTTATTATCCCGCTGCATTTGCTTGATTTGACGCTGTGTGTGCTCTCGACTAGCTGGCGGCTTACTGGCGACGGCAATGGCATCCAAGTCCTCAGACAGTTTACGTGGCGTGGTGGAGGCGGTGCTGTCTGTTTTGGTCGGCGAAGTGTCGTTCGATTTGTTGGCCGACTTGGCGGGTTGCGATTGTTGTTTGCTCACAGCCATATCCATTAATCCATCATCGTCCTCGTCGTGGCTATATTCATCACTGCTCAGTTGCGAATTGGACGAGTCGTAAATTTCCAAGCTCGACATGGCTCAAAACAGATTAACTCACACTCACAATTAACTGTAACCTGTAATACATGTAGTCGGATCAAACGATTATGTATGTTTGCCATACTTACACGCTGCACAATTTTTTATTTTTTAATTTTTTCGCTCTTGCAGGAAAGAAAGCGTCTGCGTCTACCGGCAGAATTTCTGTGTCCCTTGTTGTCGTTCGCAAATGCTTACTGTACGTTTGACCTAGAGGCCAAATTATGCTTCTCTAACTGCACGCACTCCACCTTTTGACAATTGGAATAGTACTTTGAATTTTTTAATTATTTTCTAGCATTGCAAAAAATTTGCGGCGACGACGGCTTTTATTCGTGTCTGAACAGTGGAGAATGACATTAAAAGAAGAAGAAGAAATGTTTTTGCTGTTATTGACAATATTGCGTTAACAGCCACAAAACCATTAACAGCTGTTGAGTATGTTAAATAACAGCCCTCGCTGCCGTTGTTCGCTGAAAAAATTTAAATCAAGTAAACAAAAGTATTTTAGAGACTTACTCCTAATAATAATTGGTAGAAGTGATTAAWTTGAAATTAATGCAATATGCAGATAGCTTTACATTATAACAGTTGAACACTTTGTTTGAGGAGCATTTATTTGTTCATAAATTAGCAATTTATCGATTATATATCGGATCTGAAAGCCTATCGACATTACGCAATGCTTCCGACACACCGATATGCATGTGCTATCAAAGCTCTAGTGTTTAAATAACAGCTCGCGCACATTATGCCTTAAGAACATTTACATATTCGTATTATTTTTAGAATTGTTTTCCAGCGCAAAGCTAAAACAAAAGTAAAGCAATATCACTATGTCTCATTTTTTTAATAAATGCCTCTAACACGAAATGATCATTAACATTTGAATAAGGTTTTGAACTTGTCATTTGTCGCAGATCGAATAATATAGAGAATGCGCACACATGCACACCCACTTATAACATTAAACAAGTGACTGCAGGTGTGTGTATCTGATACCGATATTATATATACATATACATAATAGCGTGTAATGAGTAAGATTCGTTCGAATGAACTATGGCCACCTTGCCAGGTCATAAAAATATTCTCACACACGCACACACACATATGCATACATATGTATAAATATATGGAAGAGCGCGTTTCATTTCCTCTATCTTAGCCATACTACCCATCGAACAACAACAGCGACGCGGCAACGCCAGCGACAAGCGCGACATTTGTTCTCTCTTTCCATTGATAACGGTAAAGGGTGATTAGTTTGTTAATCACCAATATCAGCGCACAGTCAATGGAATTACAACTGGAAGAAACAGTTAAACACATTTCGGCATTTAGTTGAGCACRGCAGCTGGCTGTGTAAGAAAGGAGCTCGTTTGTCTCTATTCAGCTACCAAATCCATTTAGTTCGGGTGAGTGTGTCTCATTTGCCAATAATGATTGAAACGGTGATCTTGCATATCGGAAAACATTATCTTGATCGAAGCCTATGAGTTTATGTGCATATATGTGATAATTGATATAACTGTTTAGTTAGTAGAGTTATATGATATTCAGTTACGTAAAGGTCGTCAGGGTGAAACGATAATGTTATGTGATATTATATTTGAATACATATAGCGCAGTCCTGCTATAAAAGATGATATCCAAGTGAACTAGTTCCTTAAGCAATTAAAGGATTTTGTAAATTATTTCCAAATGAAGCGATTCCTTAGAGCTATTGGAGTTAACTAAGTAAAGTTTGCACAATTGGAAAAAGGAGCAGAACAGAATCATTATAAAGGAATTGCTGGATTTAAAACAGTTTGTCATGCGAACTAAGATTTTTTTTGTCACATGAAACGATCAGGTCAGAATTATTATCTCCGCGGAAGCTCGAAATTGTCTAATAATTATCAATCTATACTAATTAAAATTAAAAACAAGTAAAAAAGCTCTAGTCGAGACTGCTCGACTACGAGATCCCCTGAACCCTTGGAGCAATAGATATTTCAATAATTTTTCGCGTCTTTCAGCTTACATAAGAAACACGTCACGAACTGCGAACTGCGACACACATACACTCACACATGCATACACACACAAACGCACACACAGGCACACATACACACACACGCATANAAAAATATAATATACTTTTAAGCAAGTTGGAAATATAATTTAGAAATATAATATAATTTTTATACAAATATGTCTAAACTTTTCGAACATTTTTTATCCTTAGGTTCCAACATGGTTTCGGTAAAGGCGCTGAAGAGGAGTATGGTCGCACGTTTGATAATTGCGATCACATTCTTCTCCTGTGGATTCGGTTGTAATATCGTACAATGTCTGCTAATGTTATTCATCAAGCCCTTTAGCCCGAGTCTATACAGAAGTTTAATATACTATCCCCTGTATGCATTCTACTCACGTAAGTAAGGTCCATAKATTATATAGATTCATCACTTAAAAGTGTACTGACTCTTTTTCAGAGATGGTCGTCCTTGCGGAATGGTATGGGGGCGGTAGATTGCACCTCTATATGGACAGCGAGGACTTCAAGCATGCTGGCAAGGAGCATGGCGTAGTCTTAATGAATCACTATTACGAAATTGATTGGCTTGTGCTCTGGATGCTCCTCGATAAACTGAAAATGTTGGGCACATCGAAAGCATTTGCCAAGAAGCCAATTCGGTATTTGCCAGTGCTCGGTTGGGCCTGGTGGATGGCGGAGTTTGTGTTCCTCAATCGTGATTTTGAGAAGGATAAGGCGATTATTGCCAAACAGCTAAAAATCATCTATTCCTATCCGAAACCTGTTTGGTTGCTTCTCACAGCGGAGGGCACACGCTTCACGCCCGCCAAGCACGAGGTCGCCCTGAAATTTGCCAAGGAGAAGGGCTTGACGCCACTCAAGTATCATTTGATACCACGCACGAGAGGATTCACCACCAGCTTGCCCACATTGCGTAGCATCTGCCCGGCCATCTACGACATGAATGTGGCATTCAAAGCGGACTCAGACGTGCCTGTAAATCTAAATTCGGTCTTGACTGGCGAGACACTGAATCCGTACATCCTTGTCCGACGCTTCCCCACGGAGAAAATCCCAACGGACGAGAAGGAGGCCGCTGCCTGGCTGCATAACCTCTATGTAGAAAAGGATCGTATAATCGAGAGCTTCCACGAGTCGGGCAGCTTCTTCAAGACRTCGGGCATCAAGGAAATGCCCTGCACCGTCTTCGAGCCACGCCCCATCAGTCTGCTCGTCTTCAGCACCATAGGCATCTCCTCAATTGGCTCCCTCATCTATTATCTGATCGTATCATTGCTGAGTGCCAACTTGGGTGGCGTCATCTTTGTAGTAGCTCTAGTCGTGCTATGTGAGTGTGATGCATTGTTATCAAATTTCATATTTGTAAAAATGTATTTTTTGAATTCTTTCAGTTTGGGTGTTGTTGAGAAAAGCAGACAACGTTACGCAGGTCAGCAAAGGATCCGACTATGGCGTCTCCGATAGCAAAGCGAAAACCAATTAAGTTTTAACCGGGTTCTTTTAAACGGGGATTTAGGCACTATGTACATGCATTTATATGTATATTTCTTGTTAACGATTTTTATAAACGATTTGATAAGTTAAATAAAGAATTGAAAAGTAAACATATTCGTTAAATAGAATATATCAATATATGTATATAGATATGTACATAAATATACAAGGGTGAACTTTAGCATGGACTGCTTATCGACTTGTTCGTTTATTAAATAACTGCAGTCAATGAGTCAAGCTGATTAGATAAAATTTATAAGTTTTTCGAAATGTTCGAAGGCGACGAAAAGAAGTATAAAATATTTGGGTAGCATTGCCCATGATGTTTTCTAGTAGTAATTTTTATCAGCTCTGTCTACCAATAAATATTTACCGCTTTTGAGAGCTTTAGCAACAACAAAAATAAATAACAATATCAGAATCAGAAATAAACGATTTGTGTTGATAAGCGTAATGCTTTTTAAATTTTGGCGCCAATTGCCAGAACAGCTGTTCTACACAATAGGCATAAACCAGGGCGGCACTAACAATTGTTTGTTAACTGTATTCAATCGATAGGCGCTGCTGTTGGCGTGCGCGAAAAGTACATCGATTGCCGTTCAGCGCTCAGTCACACGAAAACAACTATATATAAATAAATAAATACACAATCAACAAACGCACAATAAACGTTGCCAAAAGGTAAAGTGCGCGCATACTGCAAACGTGAGCTATACAAATAGATATGTTTTGATGGTGCATGAAAAGTCAATTGGTGTCGCGCAACTATAGATTGATCAATTGATTGTGAATCGTCATACTTTGTATACATGCGTATATAGGCTACATCAATATAAACTAAATACATATATTTACGTATGCATGAATAACATATTAGTTACATGAGATCATTGAACTGAATTGTCAACAAAAGTGTTTCTAATGGTTATTAGAGCATGCAAAAACAAACGCACACATGCATACGCTGACAGTCATACGCGCACAACACAAACACAAACATTCATACAGTTTATATACAGTGGCTCACAGCTTATTTGACCCAACGTAAAATAAAAATTTCATCTGCTCATTACTTTTTACCCAATAGAAATTTTTGNTTAGATCAATAAGGGGGCTATGCAAAATAGTAAGTGTAAAAAAACTACCCATAATTTTGAAATTACTGTTAAAATTAACTAATGGGTCAAATAAGCTGTGACATTGATTTTATGACTTTTTTTAGTTTTTGTTATTTTTTTACTGTGTTTTTTTAAATATCAATAAAAAAGTTATGCTTTCCATTAATTTAATATTGAAATAACAATTCCACGTTTGAATTTTTCAAAAATTTCTATTGGGTAAAAAGTAATGAGCAGATGAAATTTTTATTTTACGTTGGGTCAAATAAGCTGTGAGCCACTGTATATAATCCATATATGTATATATCGATATACATACATAAACGCGCGCGCGCTCACATTTTGTTAGCCGTACAGAAAAAGTATCTTTCATACGTAATTTATGTAAATCAGTGTGAAGTTACAAAATACGTACAAAGACTCATCGGGGACTTTGCGAGAATTAACGATTGCACGGACTTTGTTCATGAATACATCCATATTCTATACGAATTGCATTTGCTGTCAATCTTATCTGACCACCACCCCGCCCACCCTTCCTCCGTCTGCTGGCTCTATCAGCCTTCGGATTGTTCCGATAAAGACATTTATAGTGCACTATATCTAGGGGCAACACAATCTATTTGTAGAGTTATGTTCCTTATCTAAAGTCAGCTACTGTTAATAGCTAGCTGGCTAATTGATTGAAACTTTGGTCAGATTCGTTTCACAGTTCAAAGTGAGTAGCTGGCCATAAACTACAAAAAACGTTGGCAAATAAGTATACGGCGAGAGCTCTACACATACATATATATTACGTAAATTTGCTAGTTGCTAGTCGGACTAGAGACATATCTATACAAAATTGGCGTTTTAACGTTTTACGATTTTTCTCTACCTACTGTTTCTTTTTATAGAACATTGTATAAACGGCGTAGTCATGATTACGTTACAGGAGCTAAAAAAGTTGAGACTGATCCATCTATGTATCGCGATAACCTTCTTCACCAGCGGCCTGTCCATTAATTTTCTGCAACTTTTGCTCCACATCTGCCTAAAGCCCTTCAATAAACGTCTCTTCCGTAAATTAATGTACTATCTTTGCTACTCCTTCTACAGCCGTAAGTAAAAAGATTTCAATATACATATATAGAATGTAATATAAAATACTTCCGAATGATTCACAGAGCTTGTTTTCATGGCCGATTGGTATGCGGGCTGTAAGTTGCGAGTGTATATGGATGCCGAGGATGAGAAGAAATATGCTGGCAAGGAGCATGTTCTGCTCCTGATGAATCATAAGTATGAAATCGATTGGCTGGCTGGCTGGATGATCTGCGAAAAAGTCGGAGTTTTGGGCAACTGCAAGGCCTATGCGAAAAAGGCCATTAGATATGTGCCCTGCATGGGCTGGGCCTGGTGGCTAGCCGAGTTTGTCTTTCTCAATCGTGATTTTGACAAGGATAAGGAGATTATTGCCAAGCAGCTCAAGATTGTGTTCTCCTATCCGGATCCCACCTGGTTGCTGTTGAATGCAGAGGGCACACGATTCACCCCTGCCAAGCACGAAGCGTCCGTTAAGTTTGCTCAGGAACGGGGAATGACCCCACTTAAGCATCATTTGATACCACGCACGAAAGGCTTTACGGCCAGCTTGCCCACATTGCGTGGCATCTGTCCCGTCATCTATGATATCAATTTGGCCTTTAAGAGCGACGAGAAGGTGAGTCATTCAGCGTCTACTCTTCGCGATTTTCCTTTATTTGCTATATTACTTTATTACAGGTACCTCCCACCATGCTGTCCCTGCTCAATGGGAAGTCCGTTGAGCCTTATATGTTAATGCGTCGCATTCCACTCGAGCAAGTGCCGGAGGGCGAGAAGGAGGCAGCGGATTGGCTGCAAAAGTTGTTTGTGGAAAAGGATCGAATTATCGATAGCTTCCATGAGACGGGCAGCTTCTTCGAGAAGTCCGGCGTAAAGGAGGTGCCATACAAAATCTGTAAACCACGTCTCAGCAGTTTACTTAACTTTGTTGGCTGGGCAATCTACTCGTTATCCTTCATCTTCTATTATCTTATCTCGTCCCTCCTGGCCTCCAATTGGACTGGTCTGATAACAGCGCTCTCTCTGCTGGGCATTTGTAAGTWTAGACTAATCTATATATCTTTACATTAAAGTCATTAATATGTTATTCTCTTCTCATTGCAGTCTATTGGCTAATGGGCGTGGCAATTAATAAGACACAGATTAGCAAAGCCTCCAGTTACGGTGCACAAAGCAACAAAACTAGCGCACATTAATTTGTATAAATACAAAAATCCAATTATTTCGTTGTTTGTTAACGAGCGTGTTTAGTCAATGAGCCAAGCTGATAATCTCACAATTATATATCTCTATACACAAATAACTTTTAATCGTGGATTTTTGCTTGATATGTCTTATCAGCAGTCTTTATCTCAAATTTCTGTTCGTTTTTTGGCTATGAGTAACAAGCTATCAGTTTGGATATAAATTTAATGAATTAATACATGGATAAGGTGTCGCACACTAGACATACGAAACGTTGAAATTATGCAATAAAATTAAATCAATAGATTCAACAATTCATAATTTTTCTTATTTAAAATAGAGACAAACGAATTTGATACCAACAGCTGACTTGGTATCGAATAAATGCCAATATCGATATTTAGCGCTGCCACCATACCTCTAACCATCGACTGTATAAAAATGCATCGAATATAATAAATATCGATAGTTTTCCAGTTCTACTCCCCATTTTTATAAAACGCCAAATGAAAATTAAAAAAAACTTCGTACCTTTAATTTAATGCAATAATATGTGCAATTTGAAGGTGAGTTAACGATCACTAATCAATGGAGTGCAAAATACGAACAAATCAAATGAGTACTGAAGTGAAAAGTGAAACGTAACACTGCCTCCAGCTTGCAGTTTGCCATTTGTCATTCATTTATAAAAAGGGGGGATCGGGCACAGTCCTATTGGTAGGCTCAAGGACCGTCTGTTATATACGTATATATAGATATATTTCTATATATGTATATACGGGATGCTTGTTGTCGCACAGGACTGTTAATGGGGGATCGCTGGTGACAAAAAAGTGTCTTTGTTGAAGTAAAAAGAAAGCAGACGACGAGCTGATGACGTTGAGCTACGTACAAATTTCTCCCCAGTTACATATACAAGGTGATAAATATATGAACGGCAGTTGTACWTATATATACTTATATATGTGTGAGTGAGTTTTTATACAAAGAAATAAAATGACTATTAAATGTTGAAGGAAGTGCTTCGAATTTTCAAATTCTTGCATATACATAGGTATGTGGCAAGCACACATACACACATGCGTGGACATATTGTATGAATGCCAGCATACATGCAAATGTGTACAGCTATATATATATATACTCTGTGTGCGTGTTTGAGAATGTATGTGTGCTGTTGAACGACAGCTGACGTTGTTGGTGGTATCGAAACGGTATCGGTGCAGTGTATCGGTAATCGTAAAACAAGTTAAAAGCGCAACGTACTTCCCATGTACATATGTATGTATGTATATACATACATATTATTATTGACATAATAGATTGGATCATATATGTGTGTGTAAATCGAATGCTTTGCTCTGGTTTTACAGCATGCCGATTCAGGCGCCCTCATGGACAGACTTTCTCAACTGTCCCATCTGCTGCAATGAGTTTGAAGCCAGCCAGCGTGTGCCGATCAGCCTCGGCTGTGGCCACACTATATGCAAGCCCTGTCTGACCACACTCTACAATCGGCAATGTCCCTATGATCAGGTAAGAGCTATCATAAGCAATTCCTCAAATAAATTTCATAATTTTTTGATTGTGTAATTTAGACTCTAATTGTGACGGACATCAACAATTTGCCCTTTAACTATGCGTTACTGCAACTGGTGGGCAATGGAAATGGAAACGGAAACGGAAACGGAAATGGAAATGGCAATGGCAATGGGAACAGTGGAAGTGGTGCAGTTNGTCTCAGCAGTTTACTTAACTTTGTTGGCTGGGCAATCTACTCGTTATCCTTCATCTTCTATTATCTTATCTCGTCCCTCCTGGCCTCCAATTGGACTGGTCTGATAACAGCGCTCTCTCTGCTGGGCATTTGTAAGTATAGACTAATCTATATATCTTTACATTAAAGTCATTAATATGTTATTCTCTTCTCATTGCAGTCTATTGGCTAATGGGCGTGGCAATTAATAAGACACAGATTAGCAAAGCCTCCAGTTACGGTGCACAAAGCAACAAAACTAGCGCACATTAATTTGTATAAATACAAAAATCCAATTATTTCGTTGTTTGTTAACGAGCGTGTTTAGTCAATGAGCCAAGCTGATAATCTCACAATTATATATCTCTATACACAAATAACTTTTAATCGTGGATTTTTGCTTGATATGTCTTATCAGCAGTCTTTATCTCAAATTTCTGTTCGTTTTTTGGCTATGAGTAACAAGCTATCAGTTTGGATATAAATTTAATGAATTAATACATGGATAAGGTGTCGCACACTAGACATACGAAACGTTGAAATTATGCAATAAAATTAAATCAATAGATTCAACAATTCATAATTTTTCTTATTTAAAATAGAGACAAACGAATTTGATACCAACAGCTGACTTGGTATCGAATAAATGCCAATATCGATATTTAGCGCTGCCACCATACCTCTAACCATCGACTGTATAAAAATGCATCGAATATAATAAATATCGATAGTTTTCCAGTTCTACTCCCCATTTTTATAAAACGCCAAATGAAAATTAAAAAAAACTTCGTACCTTTAATTTAATGCAATAATATGTGCAATTTGAAGGTGAGTTAACGATCACTAATCAATGGAGTGCAAAATACGAACAAATCAAATGAGTACTGAAGTGAAAAGTGAAACGTAACACTGCCTCCAGCTTGCAGTTTGCCATTTGTCATTCATTTATAAAAAGGGGGGATCGGGCACAGTCCTATTGGTAGGCTCAAGGACCGTCTGTTATATACGTATATATAGATATATTTCTATATATGTATATACGGGATGCTTGTTGTCGCACAGGACTGTTAATGGGGGATCGCTGGTGACAAAAAAGTGTCTTTGTTGAAGTAAAAAGAAAGCAGACGACGAGCTGATGACGTTGAGCTACGTACAAATTTCTCCCCAGTTACATATACAAGGTGATAAATATATGAACGGCAGTTGTACWTATATATACTTATATATGTGTGAGTGAGTTTTTATACAAAGAAATAAAATGACTATTAAATGTTGAAGGAAGTGCTTCGAATTTTCAAATTCTTGCATATACATAGGTATGTGGCAAGCACACATACACACATGCGTGGACATATTGTATGAATGCCAGCATACATGCAAATGTGTACAGCTATATATATATATACTCTGTGTGCGTGTTTGAGAATGTATGTGTGCTGTTGAACGACAGCTGACGTTGTTGGTGGTATCGAAACGGTATCGGTGCAGTGTATCGGTAATCGTAAAACAAGTTAAAAGCGCAACGTACTTCCCATGTACATATGTATGTATGTATATACATACATATTATTATTGACATAATAGATTGGATCATATATGTGTGTGTAAATCGAATGTTTTGCTCTGGTTTTATAGCATGCCGATTCAGGCGCCCTCATGGACAGACTTTCTCAACTGTCCCATCTGCTGCAATGAGTTTGAAGCCAGCCAGCGTGTGCCGATCAGCCTCGGCTGTGGCCACACTATATGCAAGCCCTGTCTGACCACACTCTACAATCGGCAATGTCCCTATGATCAGGTAAGAGCTATCATAAGCAATTCCTCAAATAAATTTCATAATTTTTTGATTGTGTAATTTAGACTCTAATTGTGACGGACATCAACAATTTGCCCTTTAACTATGCGTTACTGCAACTGGTGGGCAATGGAAATGGAAACGGAAACGGAAACGGAAATGGAAATGGCAATGGCAATGGGAACAGTGGAAGTGGTGCAGTTGGTGATAAACGCGTGTCCAACAAGGAGGTGCAGCTGGCAGATTTGGCGCCAAGTGTGCTTAAGCTGCAACCGGAGGAGCTCAAGTGCTATAAGCTGGGCAAGAAATGCATCGAAGAGTTGGCCCTGCATTTAAAGTCGTTTTTGAATTTGAATAGCAGTAATTTACTAACCAGGCCCATGCAACGCAAACTGGTYACTCTTGTCAATTGCCAGCTAATGGAGGAGGAAGGTCGTGTGCGTGCATTGCGAGCTGCGCGTTCCTTGGGYGAACGTACCGTAACCGAGCTGATTCTACAGCATCAGAATCCACAGCAGCTCAGCTCGAATTTGTGGGCAGCGGTGCGAACGCGAGGCTGTCAGTTCCTAGGTCCTGCCATGCAAGAGGAGGTACTTAAGCTCGTTTTGCTCGCTTTGGAAGAGGGTTCTGCGCTATCTCGCAAGGTGTTGGTCATGTTTGTGGTGCAGCGGCTGGAGCCGCACTTCCCGCAAGCCTCGAAGACAAGCATTGGTCATGTGGTGCAGCTGCTCTACCGCGCTAGCTGCTTCAAGGTGTCCAAGCGCGAGGCAGACTCATCGCTGATGCAGCTCAAGGAGGAGTTTCGCACCTACGATGCACTGAGACGTGAACACGATGCACAGATTGTACAAATAGCCACAGAGGCTGGCCTACGGATTGCTCCCGAGCAATGGTCTTCGCTGTTGTACGGCGACATACAACACAAATCCCACATGCAGAGCATCATTGACAAGCTGCAGACGCCGTCCGCCTTTGCACAGTCCGTGCAGGAGCTGGTGATTGCACTGCAGCGCACCAGCGATCCGGCCAAGCTGGCGCTTTTGCACACGCATCTGCAATACTTGGCCAGCATTGATCCATGCGTAGAGACAGCGGCCTGGGAGGATGTGTCGAAAGCCTTGGACGCTGTACGGCATGCTGTAATGGGCCTGGTTCAGTACTTGCAGCACCATGGCGTACGCAAGCCGCAGGACAGTAATCTCGCGGGTGGATCTGCGAACAACAACAACACCAAGTACAAAATTAGTCTGTGCCGCGATCTCAATAATCGACGCGTTTGTCCACGGGGAGCTAGCTGCACATTTGCCCATTCGCAGGAGGAAGTGGAGCGCTATCGAGCACGCAATCGTGGGAAGCATATTAAGTCACCCATGAACATGGCAATGCCCAACATGCCACCAGGCAATAAGAAGCCGTTGCCGTTGGCCAGCGAAGTGCCCACTGGTGCCATGCTGCCCATATCGCCCATACGCTATATGCAACCACCGCCMCCAGCACCGCCTGCTCGCGGCTTTCTCGATCCCAATTGCAATATGCCACCAGCGGCACACAATCTATCGCCTGGTGCCGTACATCCACAGATGCTAAGTGCGCACCACAGTCCCATGGGGCGACAGCAGCAGCAGCAGCCACATACGGCGCTCAACGGACTGCTGGTGCCACCACCCCCACCCCCCTTGGGATACGAGCAACGCTTTAACTTTGCACCACCGCCACGCAATGCAGCGCGTATGAACCCACCGAACTACAATAGCAACAGCAACAACAGCAGCAACAGCAACCACAGCAACAACAATAACCTACATAATCACAACAAGAGCTTCTGCAGCATGCTTCCAGCGGATGTTTATCATGCGCCTTACTTTGGCAACGAGGTCAAAGGCAACGTCGAGATGTCACAAAAACTAGGCGGCAATAATCCATGGGAGCATCCATATATGCCGACGCTAGTGCCGCCACCGCCGCCGCCGTCCAGCAAAAATCCCAGTCGAGTTATGTCGACGATTTCACATGCAACAGCTGATACCTCATTTTATGAAAAGAAACCGCCGAGTACTGTTAACATTGCGCCGTTGGCCGAGAGTGCAGTGAATAGCGAATCCATGCCATTGTTTAGACCCAGCAACACCGGCAGCACCAACAATAGCAACAACAACTGCAGCACCAACAACAACAACTCATTGATATTCTGGAATAACAGCAACAAGGATTCGGCGAACTTTGTGCGTTCCGATTCCATATTGGATGACGATGCGTCCACGTTTGATGTGCCCAGCGGGTCATCGATAAACAGCCGCTATGGTCCCATTTGTCCCAAACGCAATGTGACAAACAACTGGAACAACTGGCTCGTGGAGAATGAGACGAAAAACAATAATGAGTTCCTCAGCGAGAAGAGCACTAGCTATGCAGGATTTGAGCCCAAGCCAGGCTATAAACCAGAGCACAATGACAACACCAATGCCAATAAGGTGGGACATACAATTTAGTTAAGCTTCCCAGCTAATCAATTCCATTTACAGAACGTCGCTGGACGTGATAGCGTGTTCCTTTGGAATAGCGAACTGAATGCGAATGTCAGCAGCCCGGCGAGCAATTATTGGAACAGCAGCACAAGCAGCGCGCCAACGGAAAGACTGAAGCAGCAGGATAGGAAGCCAGTGCTGATGTCCGAGGATAGCGTGGAGGGTGGCATCGATAGCGGCATGATGAGCGAGCTGGAAAAGAAGCTAGTGGACATTGTGGAGGTCTGGTCAAATCCGGATGATAGCGGCATAAAGCTGGACTAGGCCAAGGATATAAATAAATATATATATAACAAAACATCGTTCGTTCGAATGATCGATGGAGTGGAAACATAATGCAATCATTTTACAAAATGTCATATAGAGGACATTACGACAGGTTTGTAAACCGCACAGCTAAGAAATTCTAGAATTTTTCAATCTAACTAACTTTAGCAAATAGTTAAAGGTTGATCATTATTCGATCGGTCCATGAAGTAAGATGAGACGTAACAGGAACAGAAACAGAACACAACAAAAGGAAAAAAATTCAATAAAATTTGGGTAGGGGAAATTAGAATTTTAATTATATAATTGTCTATTTAAAGGTGTTGTCAAGCTATATATATATGTATATATATACGATATATATATGTTATATATTTCATGTTCGGATTGATCGAACTATAGTCCGTATTATTGTTAATTTGGGTTTAATATTTGATTCACATAGYGCTTAGAATAATTGATGTCTACAACTAGCCACGATCTTTTAGCACAACAATAACATATAGGTCTAGTATATTATTCAAATTGCTAACAAATTAATGATTCGTCATTTCCATAGGTGTTGTATAGTTGCTATCCAAATGTAGAAACACAATTGAAGGAAAGAGCGAGTCAAGCTGCAGGGGAAACATTATTTGCAACGTCCGCTTAAAAGAAACTGTGTAGAGTCTCGCAATAAGAGCTCTAGATCTAGATCCATGAGAGTACACGACTTTATCCCGATAAACCCCTTGCACTGGAATTCTATGCCAAAGTGCTAAAGCCAACCTACATAATGCTGATATGATGCGTGTAGTTCCGAAGGCGGGTCGAGTGACTGAAGCGAGTAAAAATACAATTATTAGTTTGTTTTTATTTAAAGTTTTTAATAGATTTTATTAAATTTTCACCTTAATTATTAACTATGTGAAATCGAAAAACTATTTTTATATATACACTGAAAGCAAAATGGATATATAATATATATGCATATATATCTATATATCAATCTAAAGAGTTGGGATTACAATTTGAGTAGGGGATTGGGGGGGCGACCCACATACGTTTGATAATTTATATAAGTATGCGTGGATAAATGTTTATATTTCTTAAAGAAATTTTAATAACGCTATTGTGCGATGTTGTTAACTATTGTACTATATTATTAAATTTATTGAAAATAAATTAAAATCATGTCCCATTTACGTTGTACTCGTTGAACTGTAAACTTGCAGCCCTATTAAAATAACTACAAAGTACTATATAATTGATATATAAATATATATTAAACATATTGTATACACATTTCGTGTGAAGAATAAAATGAAATATATTATTTATCTAATATTACACAGCTTCTGTTAATTAAATACGTATGTAATACATGCGTTAAAATTTTTAATTGATATATTAATATTATATATTAATATCAGAACGAGAAACAAATATTAGTTTTTTTTTTTTTGTTTGCTTAAAGACTTGATTCTAAATGCTAAAAACTAAAATGGATTTTTATATATATAGAAATATGAAATATATTTTAAGCAAAAGTCAAGAACCTATCATACCTATCTATCATAATATATAACAGAGATCGAGCGATACTACATGAA